CAATTTAAATAAAAATTTTCAAATAATTATAATTAGCTTGCAAATAAGTGCAAATTTTTATTCTAAGAAAAATGAAATTTTAAAGGAAGTTTAAAATACTATGAGATATTTGTTTAAAAAAAAAGCAGTATAATTAGCACATCAAATAACATTTTTATGAATATCTATATTTATTTAAAAGAACACATTTTAGATTTATAAAGAGTCAAACAATTATTGATTTAATAACAATCTAATGATATCTAAAAAAAAAAAACATGCTGGATTGTTATTAATGGCCAATACTGTAGTTGCGTCATTTCTAAAAAAGTACTAAATAGTACAAAACGTTATGAGAAATATTTAACAATAACCAAACGTAATAACTGGAAAAGCCAGACAAGCTGAGCGCGCGTAATTTAGCATAACGTGAAATACTTTTAGCGTTAAAAACTTCTTTCGAAAAAGAAAATTTAGTTTAAAACAATCATACAAAAGAATATTTGTTAATTATTTTTTATAAAAGGGTTCATAAAAATAGCTTTAAAAAAATTATATTTAAAAAAATTAATTAATAAAAGTTATACTAAATAATACTCTTAAATATTACTATTATAAGAAACTAATTTTAATTAAGTGAAATTTATTTTAGAACAGCTAAACAATAAATAAAACCCCCTATAACTTTACAATATTTTGTTGTTCTAGTTGTTCTTCCAAGATCAAAGAAAGTTTTTTTTTTCTGTAAATAGTAAAATGCGCTAGCAAAAAAACAAAAGTTTTTATCCATTGCCCTTAAATAACTTTTTTTTCAGATGTGGAATCGGTGGGGACTTTTATATTTTATTTTTAATAATGTCACCAACGTCTGCACCAATTTTCATCTCTATGCGAATTACTGCTAACCTACCACTATTTTTTCGACTATTTTGACCGGAATAATTACAAGTAGAAATAGGACGAAAGCAACGGTTTCTGCTACACATTGTGATTAATAGCACCACTAATACCATCATTCAATTTTCAGGAAATGATTACATAACGGTTTCATATTTTAAACTAATATGTTAGTTTTTTTAGATAAAATTATCATTAGAAAAAGTTTCTAACTTTATGATTAAGTTGCATAAAAGTTGCGTGTTTTTTGGGGCTCGGATATTGAACGTGCTTTATGAAATCGCTTTTTACGCTTTTTAGTATTAAATAAATAAACAAGCAAATACATATATAAATAAATATGCATAAGTAAATAGTTAAAATAAAAATTGTATTTTATTGTATTAAAAGTGTTTATATAGTAATTTAAATGTATTTATAAAGCAAAAGTGTGGGTAGGTAATTATAATTCCTGATGACACGAGAGCTATTACTGTTTTGTTTACAGAGTATAGAACCAAATATAAGGTAGCAGTTTAACTATAAATTTATTTCTTTTTAATTTAATTATAAAAGTTTAATTATAAAATTATTTAAAATATAAACTATAAAAGAATGAAAGCTGGTTTAATAAACAGAAAATTTTCAGATTGATACAAAACGTGAATAAATCAACAGAGCCGCCGGCAACATCTGATAAATCAAAAAGAAGAAGAAAAGAGGAAATGAGAAAGAAGTTCGGTCAGGACGAATTATCGTTTGTTACGCAAATGAGTTTTCAAGGTTCAGGGCACTCAGACGGTGTGAAACGAAGATGCGAAAGATGTTCCGCTCCTAAGTCCATCCAAGACAACAAAATACACGAAAGACTAGTATTTGTCACAATTGCCAGCCTTTTATAAAACGAATGAAGTTCTAGCACTTCTACTTGACTTGAAATCGACTTCTTACTAACATTTTTATAAGAACATACTAAGATTCTTACTAACATTTGAGTAATCAGGCAAAAGCCAAAGACATAAATATACTTTATTCACCATATTAGGCTGCATTGACAGGAAAAAAATGTTGCTACCCACCAGACAACACCCTAAATTCAATCAGAAATGTTGAATATGACTTTGATTTGTAATTTGGAGCAATGACTGAACCTCCAAACAAAGCATTTATCAAATGACTTTTGAAGATTCAAATACGACAAATGCAAGTTTGTTTTTTACTTTGCTTCTTCCGTTACAAATTATAGGTGTAAATCAAGAAACGAGAGAAAAAATAATTTTATGGAACAATCCGAAGCCATCTTCAACTTTCTTTTTCAGATCTCTGGAATTATAATTTACAAAGGAAACTGAGAAAGCTGAAATGCACTTTTTGACTAACAGGCCGAAAAACTTCAGCCATTAACATACTATATATATAGTATATATAATAAACAATCTTTCCTATAAAAAAAATGTTTTGGTTAAATACAATTTAAGTATAACAATGATAGATATTAAAGTATGCAATGCGATCACCAACACAAAATCTATGCAGTGGTGTTATCTTTGCACGTAACGTCTAAGCAATTTAATAACAAATTTTTGAAAAACCGAAAAAAAGGCAAAGTTTTGAAAAGACCAAAAAAAAATATGTTTGTAAACAAAACTGTTTGAGTTTTTATCAGAAGTTTTCATGAATTGACACTATGAAGAAAGTTTTCAAGAGACTTTTGGCAACCAGAGATACCTGTGTATAGGAAAATGTATATCAAAGCGTATAGGAAAATGAATATCAAAAAATTAAAAAGTTCTGTGGTGGAAGATTATAAAATTTCCAATGCAGATAATGAGGAAATAAACTTTGTGCAGACAATGAGAAAACAGACATCAAAATGAAGATTTTTATTTATTTTTTTAAATTTTTGTATTTAGGTGCCCCAAGAAGTCCTTACTTCCTTATCACAGAGGACCGCCGAGGAGCATTAAATTGGAAGATCACAATCAGATAAAAATACATTGCGCAGATGTGGGTTTGATATAGGTTTTTTGATGTAAAAGAATACTCACTAAAAAATAAATTATTACACTCAAGTTTGTTTAGATTGCACGCGTTGGTATTTATGCTGATTAAATTTTAAATAATATCAACTGTTTAAATATGAACACTTATTCAAAGCGTTGGAAAAATCAAAACAAAGAAAATAAAACAAGTTGTTAATGACATCAGTTATGCAGGAGCACAATATTGACAATTAACGCTAGCAACTTTTATACAGAAAGTAATGTCAAATGTAACTTTGAAAATGAAAACGAGGAATAGAATTTTACAAACGATGATATATAAATAGATTCAATAGTGTAAGTTGCTCGAGTGCTGTGAGTTTTTTCTAAATTTTTGAAGAGATATATGTTTTTTACTCCAGTCTAACACGCCGTTATGAGATGTTGTGTAAAGTTTGGAAATGAGAATACAGCATTTGTGCATGTGTACCTATAAAAATCAGTTCAACGCGTTATAGTTAAAGAGTAGGTGCCATTAAAATTCTTGTAAATAGCTATTTGCAGATTAGAGATATGCTCTAAAAACTTTTCTATTCACTATTAAGAAAGATAATCTAGGCAATCTATGTCTTTGTGCACGCTGCATCTGGAAACTAGAATATATGCAATATTTTAGCATGACATTTTATAAAAAGCAGATATAAAAAATAACAATCCTTTAACAAACTTTAAAGTTCAAAATTGCAATTGAATACCATAGTGAATACCAGTGGTTGTATACTAGCATCCAACCACTGAAGGAGTTTGTCATGTCAAAATGTCAAAACGTGAATATTTTTAAAGAATATGAAGAAAAGGAAGCTGAAAGGTGTTTTTTGATAAAGATTGAATGGACGTAGGCATGGAGAGTTTTATGAATTCAATTATACTCAAAAAAGGTGTGCAGGATGAGCTCCTAATGTTGTGATTGTGTTTCGTATTAGCTTTATGCTGATCATAACAACTGTTCAAGAAAAAATTGTTTTCTAAAAGAAAATTGATCAAAAAAATCTGCGTAACTCAATGCTTCAAAAACGGCTCCCTAACCTGGCTTTTAAGAATATTGATAGTAACATCATAAGGGAAATAAACTTTGATAATATTTTAGACTTTGCTCACAGAAAAGCTAGGAAAGCAAGTATACGATTTATTTTTGGGACAAAAAAATGTCGAAGTTATTCAAATCTAACAAACTGACAATATTCCTATTGAAAGTGTAATACTCGTGCGAAATGCATTCTATTTCCTGTATCGTTTAATATTTGATTTTATCGATAATAAAATTATTTCATTAATCAAATCACTACATTGGGTAATGCATTACAAATTATCCTGAAAGACAAAGGGTCCCATACTAAATTTTAGCCCAGGCCCGACGTTGGTAAAACTGGCCCCGCTTACAATTAAAATTTTTTAATAAAAATAAGTCCACCGTTTTGTGCTGTTATATTTACTATTACGAAATAAAAATAAAAATATGACTCTAGTATCTGTTAATATAAATTAAAAAATAGTCACGGGTCAACCGGTGACCCGTAAAAATATTTAATTTGTAATGTTATTCGCCTAGTAATGTTAGCTTGAACATTTACAATTTTTTTTTTTAAGTGTGCAAACTTAAAAGAGTTTGCAACCTCTGCTTCTATATATTTTGTCTATTTAAATCAAAATGAAAAGTATTTAAGGTGTGAAGTAAACTTCTCAGCTTAAAGTTGCTTCTGCGCCTAGGGCTCATCAATAAATTACGTCACGTCGAGAAAGAGATATTGGTTTTGTGAAGTGATACGGGACTTGTTGATAAAGATTTACGATGTTGTGACGATGTTGGAGGAAGGGGTCAAATATTGCATGACGTAATTTGGGAACGACCTCCTATTTAAATTGCGTTAACTTTTCTTGAAGGTAAACACAATGATATATAATATATTATTGGGTAAAATTTCTCCGCAAAATGTGTAAAAACGCCATTTTCTATGTTGGTCACGGGTTTAATAACTATCATGGGTTAAATAACAAGCAGACATTCAAAAGTTAAACACTACTTTATTAATAAATAGTGAAACAAAGTATCTAAAATCAGCCTTGATCCTTAGAAATGGTTCTATAAATTTAATTGTTTTATATTATTAAGTGTATAAATTATGTCGTATTTTAAGTACATAACATTTGTCTAAAATTAAAAAAAAACACGAAAATGAGTTGAACCCTAGAAACAATGGTCTTGTGTAAGACCATTCCTGATCAATTGACCAGAAATTATCTTAATCAAGAGAGGCTGTAATTGCAAAACTTATAAGAAAACAATTTAAAAATTTAAATTTAAATAATAAAATAAAATTTACTTATAGTCTGTTAAGTACTAATTTATTAGGCACTTGTGTATTAGGTTTTAAATATCGTCACTTATAACAACAAGAATTGTTGTATTTTGTTTTACACTTTTTAAGTGACTCGTAGCAATAAATTAAACTGCATATGCAATGTTGATTCACGAGTTATCTGAAAAATCTCAACATTATTTTTCATGAATTGTAATTCTTTATATGATTACTAGTGTGCTGGTGCATACAAAAGCATGGTAATATTTACTAAACATAACCTTGTTTTTTACCCATCAAAAATATTAATATCACATAGAATTTGAGTTTTTAATAGATAAGTTAAAACAAAGCTTGTGTTATTTTTGTAAAATAGGACTATAAACTGATTATATAATAGCTATATAATGAAGGTATAATCTAAAGTAATATTTAGAAACCTGCACAATTATAAAGCTCTTGTGAAAAAACATTTAGTCATAACTATTATTGTCGAAATTATTTACATGAACTTCTTGACAATGTGACAACAATTTTTCCAGAATTTATTATTTTATTGCATAATTGTGCTTTAAATATTATCGCTTCGACTTATCATAGAAATATCACACGAGTTCTTCTTCGAGTATCATACAAAGAATGACTTCTAAAAATGTTACTTTTATAAATGATCAAAATGAAAATCAGTTATCAGAAAAAGATAAAGTAGTTCATCATAATAATGAAAATGAATTAGAGAACAATATTTTGCCACTTTCTTCAGAGTTGTATGATGCTGATGAAAAGACAAAACTTGATAACTTATCAACATTTTATAAAGATCTTGAGAATGACCCTAAAGATTTTTTTTTATCTAATGAGGATGAGACGTACTATTTGAGTACTCGACTCAAACTTGTAGAAGATGAAAAACTTGCCTTGATGATTGATCATAATAACTTGATTAAAGAATTTAATAAACATATGGAAAGTTATTTAGAAGAAATAAGAAATTTAAAGGAGTCTAAACATTTAATTGAGCGAGAAGCTAAAGAACTTAGAGATCTATGCTGCTTACTTGATGATGAGCGTAAAAAATGTAGACAGCTAGCAAAAGAATGGCAAAGATTTGGTAGACATTCTGTTTCAGTTATGCGAAAAGAAGTCCTTTCATATCAAAATAAAATAAATTTAATGGAAGAAAAACAACAAGAAATAATGAAAGAAAATGCAGAATTGCGTGATCTATGTGTTTATCTGGATTCTCAAAGATTACCCAATGAAAATCAGTTTGCTATTTCTTATCAATGTTCTAAGTGTTCAAATATATTAATTCAAAATAACAGTCTGCATATTGGTATATATATTTTTATTTATGTTTGAAGTTATAAAATTTTTTTTAAATTGTTTTTTTTTTTTTAATTTTATTCAGCTTGATTTAAGATATATGTATAGTGAAATAAAGTAAAAAATATACTTCTTTCTTTTTGTGAACTTCCAAATTTAATGCTCTTCTGTAATCCTCTTTGAAAATATCATTTAGGAGTTCTGGTAGCTTGTTATTAGCTACAAAAAAAAAAAAAAAAAAAAAAAAAAAATTAAAAGTCAATTTATAAAAACATATTTTCTTAATTTAATTGCTCTCTATGAAATAAATTTGCAAAGCATGAAAATAGCAGTTGTATATTTTATGCAGTTTTAAAAATGTTTAAAATTAATTGCATACTATGTAACAAATCTTTATAATTGAAAGTTTTTGTTCAAATAAAAAAAAAACTTGAAGTAAATCTGTTTTAACAACTATTATTTGGGGCTATTTTAGACCATTTTTGACAGTGCCGACCGTATTTGGACACCACCTAAATTCAGGCAAGGAAGACATTTTAATGTCTTCATTTGGGCGCAATATGTTTTTTTATAATTATTAGTTTTTTATACTTTTAGTATTCTAACCACATTTTATGACTTTTATAATGTAGATTTATTTAACATTAATTTAAGTAAGATGTAGAAAATGATGGCAGCAACTAGAGATTTTAAGGTTTTAAATAAAATTCAAATAAGATGAAGTTAGTTGGCAAGATTATTAAAATTCATGTTTCATAGCAACTAATGTTAATTTAAAGTAAGATTAAATTAGTTTGATAAATATAAGAACCAGATAAGCTGCTAATATTTTCTCTGAAATTTAAACTTAGTATTGACTCCATTAGTTTTTAAGGAGTCATAATTTTAAGAAGCACTTGGCCATAGTTTTAAAAAAATAATTAAAAAAGTCAGAAAAAACATTTAAATGATAATATTTTATGATAAATACTAAGAGTGCAATTAATGTTTTATGTAAGAGTTTAGATTATTATAATTTTTTAGAATAACAATAGTTTAAATAAATTAGTTAAAATTTAAGATACAATTTTAAATTTAATTTGCTTTTAGATAAACCAGAAGCAGTCAAGGTTTCTGATCAGATACACATAGAGGTTAATATTTTACATCATTTATCTTTTAATGTTTTATTTAAATCTGATCTTTTAAATTTAAATTTTTTAGTTACTTCATAAGTTAATCTAAGATCTAAGAACTACTTGAAAGGCATCATAAGATCTTTTAAATTATACTTAAAACTTAAGTTAAAAATTTAGTTACAAATTACTTGGTTAATTATCAATGACCTCAGAAAATAAGAGTGCACCAATGCCTACTTTTTCCTGATGCTGATGATATGTCAATATGAATGCATCGGCCAATGCATTTGCATAGACCCTACATTTAAATTTACATTCTTAATTATGGCATTGTTTTATGTTTGTATACCAAATAGATACAAAATTAAATCAAAAAAATGACATTCGCAAAACAACATTGTTCTCAGTAACCATCTGCCAATGCTGATGCATTGCCAAGCCCGTGTCATTTATCAGAAAATGAAGATGACAAACAATATAATTAAAATAAAATAAGCAAGGAAAGAAATATCAATCAAACTTAGAATTACATATTATTGATACTTAGCATCAGACCTAAGTTATATTAGATTATTCAAGTTGGTACAAATCTGTTTCATCACCTTTTGATCATCTTCATCATTTTTCATCAAATTTAATTGATTCAAAACTTAGTTGATGACGCTTTTAAAAAAATTTTAAAAAACTCGAAATCTTCAAAAGTTGATGAAATATGTAATGCGTTAAATGTAATTAGCAACTATTACTTAAAGATAAAATAAATAAGAGAGATAAATATATATTATAAAGTAAAATGCAATAATTGTTAGCAGCAAACTACTAAATTTTGTTTGGATTAAAATTTACTAGGCACTGTTCCTAGCTCTGAGTCACAAAAGGGAGATTACATTCAAGGTTGGCTAGCAATAGTTTTATATTGCAAATATTTATCTCTTCCAAGTAATTTTTTACTAATTAGCATCTTACCTCTTCAAAATTGAACAGAAAAAGAACTAAATTCATCATTCTTTTGAGCTTAGTTTTAAATATCCTGTATCATTTTCAGGTCTCAGTCCTCTGATTTGCCAAGTAGATCAATTAGTTACATGATTGGGCTAAGCATATACTTAGTCCAAATTTAATATACAATATCTCATCTTTCATCAGATTAAGTCAGATCATCTTTTGGAATTCAAGTTGCATAGTTTACAAAAAGCTTTTCTTTTTCGCCACATAAATATCCTCTACAAACATCCTTAAAAAAAGTTAGCATTTGGTTGGCATTTTTCAATTCTTCTACAGCTTTCAATAATATTCCTGTCACAATCAGAGGCGTAGACAGAATTTTTTGATGTTCTAGACATGAACCAAACTCCAAACATTTATATGTTTTTACTTATGTCAAATAAGGATGCTTTGCAATGATTCAAGCCTGGGAACAAAAAAGCCCTAAAATTTTAGCCTGCCCCAAACATGAGAGCAACAAGTTGATGAAATATTTTTAGTACTATTTTTAACTAGCCATATAATCATCAATAAATTTTAAGTTTCATAGTAAAATCTCTCAGCCTTTGAACTTACATAGTTTGAACCCCCTCAATTTGAGGGGGTTACAAAATTTATATAGTAATTTAATTATAATTTTATAATAGTTTTAGTCTTGATAAAAATTTTTATTGCTTATATGATTTTGATTCTTCTGTTTTTTTATTGTTGATTTATTATAAACAAATTTTCTTAAAATTTTAGCAATTCAAATTGAAAAGTTCAAATGAAAAAAAAAGAGTATCATTTACATTTGCATCAGAAGATGACAGTGACTCTTTCTCTGTAGGTGCCATTTTTTTTTATTTATTTATGAAAAGTGTAAAAAATGAAAAAAAAAATCTTGTTTGTTTTCTTTTAGTAGTTAAAATGAATGTTTCAGTTAAAATTAAAACATGAAATTTTATATATAATATTATCATATATTAAAGCGTATGAAATTTCAATCAAATTTTTAAAGAACATGAATTATATAAGTTTTTTGAAAAATTATGTTTATTAATTTTTGAGAGTCATCAGTAATAAATATTATTAAAAATATAAATATATACAGAAAAAATAGAATTTGTGCCTGTAATCACAGGCACAATTCTATTTTTTCTAATAATAATAAATCTGTTATCTGTTCTGCATTATATAAAAATAACACTTATTTTTATAGACAATATCTGAAGCTGATAGCAGGCTAGATTTTCCTCCTTCATTTGATAGTGTGGAAAGTTATATAACATCAGGTAAAAAAAATTTAATGAATATATAGAGAGAAGAAAGACCAAAAGGCTTTGTTAGGAGTAGTTGGCTTCTAACCTTGTCTGCTTTGAGACTTGTGTAACTTAGTTTACATGGGCAAAACAAGCCGTAAAGATTTCAAAAAAGAAAACTAAATATAATGTTTTTTATTTAGTTATTATTTGAAAATTTCATTAAAAATTAAAAGAAATCTCTGTTGAAATTTACATCATATGATGTAATTTTAACATTGATGACAAATTTGAGTTTGAAACTGAGGTTTTTAAAGAATGCTTTGAGTTTGAAACTGATGTTTTAAAAAATGAATATTGTTCAAAAAATTTTTCTATTATTTTTTTCAGTTTTTTTGTACATTATTTATAAATATATATAAATATATTAATCTATTAAGCATTATTTATTACATTTAATAGCCACATATTACATTTAAAAAATACACTATAAATATTAAATTAAACATTTATAATTATGATGTATATAGCAGGTATTAAAACAAGTTAAACAATTTTTTTCAAACATTAATCTGGATCTGCTGTTTCCATTACATGAAAGTCATCATGGCCAAGCATTTCAGTCTCCTAAGCATCTTAAAAATATCTCTAAAATCTATGTGTTGTTATTAACATGTTAAAAAATTGACAATTATTTTATTGGTATTGCTATTACATTATTATTTTTATGTTGGTTTTATTTTTAATGTTTGATAACAATAGTTCTTTTAGAAAATAAATTTGCATTCCAAAGTTTTCTACTATCTACTATCTTTAAAAAACACAACACAATATTTCAATTTTGTTAAGAAATAAATCACCAATAGAATGAGAAGGAAAGGAGTTTTAAAAATTTTTGGGTTCTTAGAATCTCAAAAATCATTTTTAGAAAAAAAATCTACCAAACACAAAGGTAGAGTAAGCCAATTTTTATCAAAAGACTGAAGTCAAGTCATTCATTGAAACTATATGATTTAATGAAATGATTTCAATTTTAAAAGTAAGGGAGCAGCCTAATAATGGCTCGAACTTCTCCTTTTTAATATGCAGACCATGGCAATTAAAATGTTAAGTTTAAAAACATATTTAAGCTAACAAGTTAATTCAATTTGAAGTGCATGTATACAAATGATGCAGCCCTTAAAAAAAAAATTATTTACTTGTTAAAAATTTTAAGTTAAAAATTAATTTGTGTGTTTCCTAATAAAACCAAATATAGTTGGAATCTTGGTGACCTATTCAATGTCTAATCAGTCACCTGAGTAAAAGGACCTATTTTAAACAGAAAAGACAGAAGTAATAAAAAGGTGGTGGTGTGTGTAGTAGACACTAGATAATCTGTATCATATAAGTCGATATCGAGAAGAATGGTCTTGTATCACCTGGTATCGCTCATATACTAATGTCGATACTATCAGTATTGCTTTGATACCTCTCAATATCGAGAAGGATGGTCTCGTATGATGTGATATTGCTTATGTACAAAAGTCAATACTATTAGTATCGCTTTGATACCAAAATGGTACCGATAATAAAAAGAATCGTGTAGTATCTCATGGTCTCAAATTGAGAGATTAAAATGTGACTTATTGAATTTTTTATTAACAAAGTACAAGTATTATTGCTTATTTGAGATTTAGTTTTTTTTTTTTTTTTAACATCTCCAATACTTTGGCTATTGTCCATTTGTTGTTTTTTACTTTGCTGTACTTTTGCTGGTGTGTTAGAATTTTCTTCTATTAATATTTTAATAATTTTATGGGGAATTTACTGTAAATTTTACATTTAAACAATATCAAGTGAGTTAAATGATTTTAAAAATATTATTACCAAAAAAAGACCCTTTGATAGATGTGAATTTAATTTTTTTTTTCTTACAATTAGTAGGTATTTATATATGAAACAAAATATTTCAGAATGGGCAGACATACAACCTGGCGGGCAATTTACCACGCTGTGCTTTAACCTTTTTCCTTAAAAATTAGTTGATAAAGAGTTTATGCTCCATCAAATAAATTTAATTTTTTTAAATCCTTATAGTTAATAAACAATAATATTTATAATGTAAAAACGTAAAAAATAAACTGCATTTTTAATTAAAAAATCAAATCCTTTGGAAAGACTTGAACCTAGATCTCCGGACTCCTAGGCCATAACTTTATCTGCTTGGCCACACTATCTATTACGTTAAAGAGAAGAGTTATTATATATAAAAATAATTCTGCCGAAAATCAATCTCAGGATTATTTCCAGGCATTGAGAAACTACACGCAGCAGGGGCAGATCCAGGTCATTGTTCTAGGGTTAGTCTGACCAAAAAATATATAAGAAATAAGATTTACATTTTCTTAAAATAAAACGACTGTTTCATTTGATCATTTAGAATGATTTAGAAAGGTTATAAGATAGTTTGCTAATAAATATATTGAAATATACTTTTTTTTTTGAGAAAAATAATATAATGTTGAATTACAATTTTTTGTATTTTTTTCTTATTTTTTTAATTTTATCAATAATATTTTGAAGTTTGATATTTCTTAGGCGAGGAGTATAGTAACCCCAAATACCACCCTTCCCACTTTCCTTTTTGTTTGCTCCTTACACACTGTTTAACATAATTCAATTATTTGTAGGGATGTACTGGAATTCCGTTCCGTTCTGATCGGAATTTGTGACTTTTAGATCATTCCGGTTCCGGCCGAAATTTTAATAATTCAGGCCAGAATGCCAGAATTTACTTTTCACTTTATTTATTTAAGACATGTGACGCAGACTGTGTAAATTAAATCAAAAAATCATTCTCCCAGAAGACAATGAAGGTAAAAAATACAAAGTTCTTCAAAAGTGCCATGTAATTTTAGATAAAGCTACAGTTTAGCGCTCTTAAATAATTTTATTTTTTTGTGTGTTGCGCTCTCATTAGTGGAAAGTTTTTAAACATTAGAAATTTTAATTGAAATAATAAAAGAATAAAGATTGCTGCTCTATGCCAAAATTGTCTGTCAATGTAGCAGCATTTCCTTGTAGAAGCAGGCTATAAGATAGTCGATGTAGCAACACTCCCTTGTAGCAACTAAGCATGAGCATTTGGCAGTCAGTTAAAAACCGTTAATTTCCGTTGCGTTAAAAAAAGTTAACGAAATTTGCATTAATATTCGTTACGTTAATATTTATTAATGGTAATTTTCCATTAACAGCCGTTAACTTATTTTAACAGACGTTAAACTCTGTTAACGACCGTTAATGAAAAAAGTCAACATATTGAAATTTATCAGCTAGAAACACTTTTTTTTTTTAATAAAAAAACTTATTTAAATTTAAGTTATACATTTTAAACTCAAGTTATAAGTTTAAGAAATGTACAAAAATGTTTTAAATTTTTCATTAAAGCTGTAAAATAATATTTTTATAAATTTATATTAATACAATTATAAAATAATCTTTTGATAAAAGTATTATAAAATTTTCGCTTATATAAAATTTTTGCTAAAAATTTTATATTAATTAATTGTATAAAACCTTTAGTTCGATAATCGAACTGTATATTTTGAAATTTTTTTTGCTCCTTGTCTTTCATTCAACCAAAAGTTGATTAAATGAAACTTTTTTTAAAACAATGTAAACAAATTTTTAAATATAAAACTAAGGAAATTAACGGAAATTATCGAAATCAAGGTAAATTAATGAAAAAATATTGGTCCATTAAAAAACTTTAACAGAAATTTTTTGTTATTACCGTCCATTAAAGTTTTTTAGCGTAACGGACATTAACGGTAACAGACGGATTTATCGGACAAAAAAAACGCCCATGCTTAGTAGCAGCAGGCTATAAGATAATGGATGTAGCAGCACTCCATTGTAGCAGCAGGCTTTAAGATAGTTGATGTATGTTTTAAAGCCAATAAATATTCGTTATGTTTATACTAAAAAGTAACCACTTTGAGCAAGTCTCCACAGGAAAGCTCAACAAGCGATTAAATAAAATTATTTCAGACCTCATATCTGTAACTGCCTAATTTTATTTGCAGTAATCACTTATGTAAAGATTTCTAAAAGTTAAGGAATTTTGTGGTGCAAAAAGAGTTGCTATCCAGTTTTAATCAACAAACAAGCTCTTTTTTTCATCAAAAATGTTACTTTCCTTTGACAATAGTCTCATTTTTAATGTTTCTTAACTTTTAAAAAGTTAAAAAGTATAGGATGCCTAATACAGTAAATATTTCATATATATGTATAAATATATAAATGAATAAATAAACAAATTTATATATATATATATATATATATATATATATATATATATATATATATATATATATATATATATATATATATATATATATATATATATATATATTATAGGTTATAAGTATATATTATGTAGCCACGATGCTGAGGTGCAGTCTTTCACATTCAATCTTGAAGGTAAAAAACTATATAAATATAAATCTTGTTCCGGCTGGAATTTTTTCAACAATTCCGGCAAATCCGGTTCCAGCCGGAATTCAAAATTTCCAATCTGGTACACTCCTAATTATTTGTAATAATTTAGTATAGAAATAAATGTTAAACAAAATCTTTTCTTTCCTTTTAATTACAATAGAAAAAATTGCAATAACGATAACAGATAAGAAATTAAAATAAATAAGTGATACCACACAATTATTTAAATTAAAACAAATATACCAGACGAGAAATTAAATAAACTAAATTTCTTTTATAATAAATAAGTCAGTTATATATATATATATAGTCAGTTATATAATAAATGAGTCAGTTGTATTGTCAGTTATATATCTCATTATACAAATTTACTGTTTCAAATTATTAATAATTTATAAAAAAAAAAAATACAAGTTCTCATGATGACCCAAGTTGCAATCCCAAATGATACCATTGGTACAAAACAATACCAACTTAAGCAATCATTTTTGATACTAGTATCACGTGATCTTGTTATTGATACTGTAAGGTATTGCACTGAGATCAAGCGATCCCAGCATAACCGATACATTCGATATCAGCATCACGCCATCTCGATGTCAATACTGTAAAGTATCACATCAAGACCAAAGGATATTAACATAAATGATACTTTTGATACTAGTATCGCGTGATCTCAATATTGATACTGTAAGATATCACAGTGATACCAAATGATACTTTCAATACCAGTATCACATGATTTTGATACCAATACTGTATGGTATCGCACCGATACCAGAAGATAAATCGAGACTGGAGACTGATTATCTAGTGTCTATTGTGTAGGTAGTGTATGTAGATAAAAATATTAACTTATATGAAATAAACTTATGTGAAAGTGCTTTAGAACAAGTGCAAGTGTTTTAGTTGTAATTCTAAAATCAATGCTTTCTGTTGCTTTTACATATAGACAAAAAAATGGAAAAATATTGATAATTTGTCAAAAATCTTTACAATTATAAGTTCATTAATTAATGAGAAAGGTTTTGTTGATATATTAATAATGGGATACATATATGTCAAATGGTCTTGTATAACTTATTGAATTAACTGGGTAAGATAATTGTTTTGCTTAACTGAATAAAATTGAACTCTTATTTAGTAATTCAAACTACTATAATTTGAAAGATCATTTAAATTGAACAAATTCTTCGGTATCTTCAAGATTTTATATTAAAGATTGAAATCCTATAATTTGAAACTCTGGATTTGGAACAACCATTTAGAACTCTTGTAATTGGAACAAACTTTTAGAAATCTTGAATATTCAAATTACATGAGTTCAGTTGTAGTCTCTAACAATTCCTTATTTTTTTGTTAAACTTTTAATTTTTTTTTCCACCAAGATTAACTCTTGATTTGACAAGTCACAGCATTTTAAGAGGATAATATATATTTAAGAGGATAATATAAGAGAATATATATTTTAAGAGGACCAGAAGCTCATAAAGAGGTTCATAAATCCTCTATAAATAAAGATATTCATAGAGGGTTCTCTTTCTTACAAGGGTGCTCATAGAGATCAAAAAAGAGTCTTTTTTTTTTTTTTACAATAACTTGTTTGGAGCATTCTCTAAGTGATAGTTCAACTTTAATATATTGTCTGTTAAAACTAACATGTAAAACAGTATATTAATACCATTTAGAATATTATCTATAAATTTACAAATTATGAAGCTTAAATTAGAAACACTAGATCTTGATCTAGATTTAAGGTAATATTTTTTACAAAGGTTATTGTTTGAAAAAAATTTGTTTTCTCATTTCAATTATTAAATTTATTATTTAACAAATAATTATTTAAAGGTGATACTCAAGGTCTTCTTCGCAACCTTGATAGTCTACATCGAGCTACATACAGAAAGGTAATATTAAAGTATGTTTATGTCTTGTGTGTATATATATACATATATATATATATATATATATATATATATATATATATATATATATATATATATATATATATATATATATATATATATATATATATACACACAACATTAGGGTGCATCAAAAAACAACAATTTTTTAAAATTGCCTTGTCTGTGCTCTAAACATATGCGATATAATAAAATATCACTGGATAAACAAAAAATTTTGAAAAAAAAATTTTTTTAGAGGTGCCCCAAGTCCTTCGAACATTTATACGGCCCCTAAAATTCTGGGAAAAAAAGATTCTTAACAAGTAGGTCAACCTGGTATTCAAAAGAAGTGAAATTTTATAAAAAGTTCAAAAATAATGCTTGTTTTATGTAAAAATTATTATTTTAAATTTTAATGCATAATAACTATGGTTTTTAACTAAATTTCTATTTTTAGTTTTTATTTTTATAACTATGGTTTTTAACTGAATTTTTATTTTTAGTTAAAAGCCATAGTTATTATGCATTTAAATTTAAAATAATAATTTTTACATAAAACAAATATTATTTTTGAACTTTTTATAAAGTTTCACTTCTTTTGAGTACCAGGTTGACCCTACTTGTAAAAAATTTTTTTCCTAGAATTTTAGGGGCCGTATAAATGTTCGAAGGACTTGGGGCACCTCTAAAAATTTTTTTTTTTCAAAATTTTTTGTTTATCCAGTGATATTTTATTATATCGCATATGTTTAGAGCACAGACAAGGCAATTTTAAAAAATTGTTGTTTTTTGATGCACCCTATACAACATATGTTGTAATTATACATACATATATATGTATATATATATATATATATATATATATATATATATATATATATATATATATATATATATATATATATGTATATAAATAAATTTATATATATATATATATATATATATATATATATATATATATATATATATATATATATATATATACATACATATATATGTATATAAATATATATATATATATATATATATATATATATATATTTATATATATATATAAATATATATATATATATATATGTATAAAACATGTTTATGTATGCATATATATATATATATGTATGTATGTATGTATGTATGTATGTATGTATGTATGTGTATATATATATATATATATATTTATATCAGGGGCTATTCTAGGAAAATAATTTGGGTGGCGGTCAGCGCCTGTCAAAATGAAATTTGGCGGAAACATTGCCATTGCCATATTTAGACATTTTTTTGCAAAAAAAAAACAATGTTTGTTGTTAAAAAAAAAGGTGAATTTGGGTGGTGCCTAAATACATATACATATATATATATATATATATATATATATATATATATATATATATATATATATATATATATATATATATATATATATATATATATATATATATATATATATATATATATATATATATATATATATATATATATATATATATATATATATATACAAGACTTACAAAAGACTTATTTATATAAATAATATTTATTGTGTATAATATACAATGATATATATGTAAGTGTGTATATATTATTGTATATAGTATACAATAATATATACACACTTAACAAAGCGTATAAAAATACGCTTTGGTAAGTGTGTATTTTTCCAGCATTTGCTCACTTTTTTTGCTTACCTTTACCCATACAGCTTTTTTAGAAAAAGAAGAAAAAAACAACAAAGAATGATGAATGAAACGATTGCTGCCCCATCCCAAACCCTCAGTCGATGTAGCAGCACTCCATTGCGAGTCAGGCTATTTGTCAGTCAATGTATGTACTGAAGCCCCCGGCAGCAGGCTTTTTCAGTATGATGTCAGATTGCTTATCTTACGCAATACTATTTGTATATATATATATATATATATATATATATATATATATATATATATATATATATATATATATATATATATATATATATATATATATGCAGGGGCTATTCTAGACCGTTTTCGACAGTGTTGACTGTATTTGGGCGTCGAATTGGGCGCCGCCCAAAATAAAATTTGAGGACCTTTTTTTTTTTCATGTTTTTTACAGCAAATATTGTTGTTTTCGCGAAAAAACCGCCGATCTTTCGCTAAAGTTTGCCGGAACAAGGGGTACTGCTGTCTAAATTTTTTTCCTAAGATAGCCCCTGATATATATATATATATATATATATATGTATATATATATATATATATATATATATATATATATATATATATATATATATATATATATATATATATATATATATATATATATATATATATATATATATACATATTATTTTATTAATCACCCTCTGCAAAATATATTTACTATGTAAAAATACAAACTAAGAAAAAAGAGGGACAAAAAAGTGTTATTTAGGAATGTTTTCTTCAAGTGTGTTTTTAAAAATTGTTCACTGTTGTTTTACATTCCAACATTGAACAGCCTATGCCAAAATATGAAGAGTAGCTTCAGGAATTACTTTCTCTTAGTCTCTAAGTTTTCTTTTTTTTTAACCAGCATTAAGGTTTTCATATTCATTATATGAATATTACATAGTTATAATAAATAAATCATTATAAATCATAAATTAATAATAAATCATCTGATTTCAAAGATTACTTAATTGTTTAAAAGGCAGATTTATTTTGTTTTGGTGTATATAATTTGACATCTCCTTAGTTTTAAATAGAGAATGTATATAGTTTTTACTATACTTGGAGACATTAAAAGGCAATTTAACTGTGTTTATTCCAAATGTATTGAGTCTTATCATTGTTGACTCTTTGTTTTCACAGAACTCTAGAACGTGGGTTAGTGTTAAAACTGCGAATGATTTATATAATTGGATAACACAGGTTTGCAAAAAAATATTTTTAAAAAGTTGTTTGAAATTTTATAACTGTTTTTTATGTATTTTTCAGCCCTGATTTCAAAAATGCAATCCTTTTTTTTCTATCACGTCAGGTTTTCTAACAAAAAAGGGATTATTTTTGGGTAAAATAATAAAATTAAACCAATTTTTCACATTTTTCAAACAATATAGAATTATAATCGTATAAATCATCTTCTGAACTATATATTTCAAGAACACTTACATTTCTCTTTCAGCTTATAATTCCTTATAATAACGTTTTTTCTTTTCTGTCAAAGCTTCTTTTATTGCTTTTCCGGCTGTGGACTCATTCAGGATCATCTCTCTTCAACATCCAGCAGTAGTCTGCTATCATGTTGACATTCCATCTTCCCTGGTATCTTCTTTACATTTCCTTGATGTCTTGGTGAAATCTTTTGCCTTGCTCTTCACATACATCGCCAAGGTTTGCAGGGAAGTAATCAAGATGTGAATGGAGAAAATGAACTTTAATGCTTATGTTACAAACCAGCTTCTTAAAGTTTTCGAGCATGTCTGTGACAATGGTCTTGTAGTTTGGATCTTTGTTGTTTCCTGGTAAACCGGTAACAACTAATTTAAAGGATGTCCTTGCTGCCTTTTCTTTTGTTTCCGATTTGTCCACAAATATTAGGATCTCTTATAAGTTTTCTTATGTCTGGTCTGACAAAGATTCCTTCTTTTAGCTTCGCCGCGGATAAACCAGGAAACTGCCCACAAAGATATTTTAAAGTCTCCCCTTCTTTTGGCAATGCCTTAAATTGTTTCATCAGCCCCAACTTAATGTGAAGTGGTGGAAGTAACACCTTTTTGGAATTCACAAGGTTTTTTTCTCAACATTTTTAACCCCTACTTCTATTTTTTCTCAAGGGCCAAGCTTTTTTTATGTAGTGCTGCTTTCTGTTCCAACTGTCCTATTCACAGAGAAATCTAGGGAGCTTTGTATAGCCACTATGTTGACCAAGCAGCATTGAAATAACTTTTAAATCCCCACACAGTGTCCATTTGTGGTCTGAGTAGCTGAGTTTGTTTAAAACCAGTTCAAGGTTTTCGTAATATTCTTTTAAGTGCACCGAGTGTCCAACAGGCATAGAAGTATACTTATTGCTATTGTGCAGAAGTAATGCTTTAAAGTTTCTTTTTGATGAATCAATTAAAAGTCTCCATTCATCAAGAGCATATTCTATTTTAAAACATGCCATAAGTCCAGGAACATCACTGCAAAATACCACCTTCTTGAGCGAAAAAAGTCACCTTGAGAAAAGATACAAATTTCTTTTCCCTTAATCGATACCAAGAAAAGATGTACCCGGAGCCAACATTTTTTTATCATTCAATCTAGATTCGAAAACATCTGCCGAGTCTTTAGGAAGACCTAGGTCTCTAACTAAATCGTTCAGTTCAGATTGTGAGAATGGAGTGGGATTGGTTGTGCCAGGATTGTAGCAATCACTGTCTTCTTCACTATCAACTTGCTGAGTCAATGTCTTTTGATCATCTAAAATATCATCCAAAGAATCTGGAGGAGAGGGTATTGGTACTCCAGGTCCATGAGAAATTGAGTGAATGGCTGATTTAATGTTAGGGTAAAAAATATCCTTTTTGTTTTTCAAATTGAAACCTTGTACGTTGCAAGAACAAAAATAACAGTCATCACTATGTTTTTTGGGCTCCCTCCAAACCATTGGTACTCCATAACATAAGGACTGCTTTTTACCTTGAAACCATTGCCTTAGTTTTTCAACAGAAGAACTAAGGCAATGATTTCAGCCCAACAAAATAAGTCTTGGGCAGTGGAGCAGGCGAACAAAATAAGTCTTGGGCAGTGGAGCCCAAGACTTATTTTGTTCGCCTAACTTTATACCAAAATAGACAAAATATACCTTTTCAACAAAATCGGAGATGTTTCTTTGTTGCTTTTTAATGGTATAGTTACCACAAATGTAGCAGAACCAATCTGATGAGTTTATACATCCTCTGGTAGCCATTGTCCATAAAACAACTTGTACTTTAGGCTAAATAATGGTTTGTGAGATCTTAAAAACCAAAATTCAAACTTACTAGAATTCTGAACTATTTATAAAAAATATCAAAAAGGCTAAAACTAGACAAGCAGTTTGTGAAATAACTGTACGTGATGAAATTTTTTCACTTTTTTTCCTGAAATCAGCGTTCAAAATACTATAAAAATCACTTGTTAAATTTGGAACAATTTTTATGTCGCAGACCTGTGTAATAGACCTTGGATGTGCAAATCAGATTCCAGATTGAATCAGAGTTCGCACCATTGCCTGGAAGTTTGACACCTACTGTCAATATTCATTCTATTAAAGTGAAGCAAAATGGATTTTTTGTACAAAAATCCATTTTGCTTCACTTGCTTCACTTCACAACACCAGTCAAGTTTCCATATATAGTAGTACCAACAATGTCATCATTTTTTATCATTTCGAATAGCTTTTCAATGTATATATTATATAGGAAGAGTGACAGAATCAATCCTTGTCTCACTCCTTGCTTAAGATCAAACGAGACTGATTTGGAACCTAGGTATGAGACAGTTGCACTGCCGCTACGGTATAAAGAAGATATAGTGTTTACTATTTGGAGAAGTAGATTTTTATCAAAATAAAGTTTATTAAAAATAATATTCCAGTTGCAGCTGTCAAAAGCCTTTTCAGCATCTACTGAACATTAATAAATCGGCAAATTTTTGCAGTTATAATGCTTAATTGTTTCGCTTACAACAAGTTCAGCATGGAGGGTCGAGCTCTTATTATTAAAACCAATTTGAAGTTTTTTTTATCTCCGGTAATTGTACATACCGCAGTAATTGTTTGGATAGATAAGTGATTTTTCATAGGATTTAACTAGAGGTATAATAGTTGACATTGATATTGAGGGGTCCATCTATGATTAATTAAAAGTACATATTTACAGCATTTTATATAGGTATCTTGTTTTTGATCTTCCTAGATAGTCATATTGAATAAATGTGAGTTATCTATTTATTAAAAAATAGTATGGAAAATTGCTTTTGTAAAATTTATTTTCAAATATTTTTTACTTTTTCGTTTATTGAATCTTTGATTTTGATTTATTGAAACTTTTATTGTAAGATCTTGAAAAGTCTTTTTTATAAGCTTTATTAGTTGTATGTTTATTAATAATATTTATTAGTTGTATGTTTATTAATAATATTAATTAGTTGTATGTTTATTAATAATATTTATTATTTGTATGTTTATTAATAATATTTATTAGTTGTATGTTTATTAATAATATTTATGTTTGTGTGTGTTGTTCATAATTAAATTTAAATGCTTTAAAACTTTTATTAAGTTTATAAGTGAATTGAAAAAATTGAATTGAAAAAATTAAATTTTATTTAATTTACATAATTATTTAAAAAGATGACTGGGTTATTAGAGCTGAATTATTTACACACTAAAAAAAGGACTTTTCAATTTATACCCAAGGATAAGATATGCAATATACCCTTAGTAAGGTATAATTTTCTACCTTTCAAGGTATAAAATAGTATGAAAAATCATTGTTTTTAATATTTTCTACCTTGAAAGTTTTGCCTTAAATTATACCTCACTTAAGGTCACATGTCCTATCCTAAGGTAGAAGTTTTTACCTAAAACTTACTTTTTTTTTAGTGTGGAATTAATTCAGTCTTTATAACCCAGTTGCTTTTTAAAAAATTTAATTTTTTCAATTTCAATTCAATTTTTAAATTTGTTTATAAACTTAATAAAAGTTTTGAAACATTTAAATTTAATTATGAACAATACAAACATAAATATTGTTAAATATACAACTAATTAAGCTTATAAATAAAAAAGACTTTTATTTATAAGCTTAATTAGTTGTATATTTAAGATCTTACAATAGAGGCTTATTTAGGTTCTATTATTTAGTACATATATTTAGATGCTTTTGTTCTGGCTTTGGTAGAGTTTTTATTTTTATTTTTTAATATTTAATAGAACTTATTTTATAAAAAACATTCTCATACAAAAATACTTTAGATTTACAGAGTTTTATAATTTTTTCAAATTACTGTAAGCTGCGATAACAAGTTGATGTTAAAAACATTTCGAATATGTTAAATAAAATAACCTAGTACTTGTTCATAGTTTTTTCTTTAAAACTTTGTTTTTATTGTGAATGCAATTTTATGAGTAGTGTTTTTAGAATATGCATTCAGATATTTCTCCTCGAAATAGTGGATTAGTTCGCTTGAGTGATCCCAGTTTAATGTCCGGAATTCAAGTTGATGAACTAAAAGAAAAAATGGCATTAACTCGTTGCGGGAAAGCAACACTAACAGAAACTGATATAACAAGACTCAAAGATATGTGTCATGTAAGCATGTAATTATGTTGAATTTGACTAATTTTTTTATTATGATTTAAATAATTTTAAATAATAACTCATGGAATTTGTTAGAAATTGACATTCTCTAAGAAACTGGTGAAGTCTTTTAGAAACTGATGGAATTCATTAATAAGGTGCTGTCCATTAATTGTGTTAATAATTTTTTGGCAATTTTTGCCTCCTCCTCTCCTTCCCTACTATATTATGTTAATTACGACAATAATTTATTATTTATGTCAATTACAACAATAGTTTATGTCAATAATTTTTTAACAATTTTTACCTCCTCCCCTACCTCTTGTCAACAATTTGTTAAACTTCCAGAGACCACCTCTCTATTTCTCCGATGATTTACGTCATCATTTTGTTACCACCCCCTTTCCCCTGAAAAAAAAATTTATATATAAATTGAAAACATCCTTTATTTTTTCCTTTTTTTTAAGTAATTAAGTTTATTAATAAAAGAAACATTGTTGACGTCAACTTTTCTTGATCCTTTCCTTGTCAACAATTGTCAAAAATCTACAGACCTCCCCTCTGCCCTATTTTGTTGACGTAATGGACAGCCCCTAACTGACAAAGTTCCATTAAAGTTATTAAGACCCAGTAAAAAAAATATGTTTAAGACGTCTAAAAAACGTATTAAAACAATTTTTAAACGTGTTAAACACGTCTTGTGGGCATTAAGCTTGATTTTTCATTAGTTACGTGCTCAACATAATAATTTTAAACAAAAAAAGTAAAAAATTGTTTTCATAATTTTATTGAATAGATTGTTGACAAGGATCCTTCCAGTTGTACCAGTATTGGTAATCTTGCAAATTTAACCTCGGAAAATACTCCGGAAGTACTAAAATCTCAATTGAACACTATAATAAATAGCTCCACTAATAACATTGATGAAGCATCAACTGAAAATAATATTAATAACTCCAAAAGGTTTACTAAAGCCTCAGATGATTATAATCCTAATACGTCGGATAAAGTGTCATTTGAATCATCCCAGTTAGTTTAAATTTCGTAATTATTTTGACTATTTCCTTTCTCTATCGTGTTTTTGTACTTTTAAAGCATTTAAAATTATGTTATACTATAAATAATGGTGCAAAGGGATAGAATATGTTTTTGCAATCTTTGTCAAAACCTTTTTTCATAGACTTAATTTTTGTATATTTGTATTTATAATTTAACGACCACCTTGTAATTTATGTTATTGTAAAATATTGAACATACAATATGTTTTAGTAATTTTCTTTATTTGTCATAATGTATGTAAATATTATTTATGGAATAAATAAGAAAAACAGTTATTGGTAAACATTGTGGAAATATTTGAAAATATATTGCAAATAAATAAAATTTATATTTCATCGGAAAGTGCCAAACCGTTGGTAATACTTCATGAGCAGTTTTAAAGATTTTGCATAAAGCATGTTTTATTTGTTTAACATAAACGATATTTTTAAGAAATGTGACATGATTTCTTTTTTATCAAAAATATCTTTTGTCAAACAAATAAAAATAGTTTTTTATGCTGCATGTAAAATCTTTAAAACTGCTCGTACGTGATTCAACGGTTTCACCAACGACATATTACTAATAACTTGTTTATTATACTTTTTTTTTTCAGAGGTGGGGTGGTAAGCTAGTTTGACAACGCACAGTGGCTCAAAATTCTTAAAAAGTGGCAAGAAAGGAAAATAGTTCAAATCTTCGTTTTCTAAATAAAAACACCTTTTAATGGTGGAAAGGCTATTAATAAAAGTTATTTGAACCTTTTTTCGAAGCCATTGCAAGGTTGAGTATTAATTTGAAGCACTTTTAAGATCCCTTTTTTATGACGAAAAAAAACCCCGAAAAAATCTACAAAATAATTTTATTTTATGGAGAGTTAAATAGGAGTAGTTAAAGTTTCGTCCTAGTTAAAATGTTTTTTTATTAATTTATTTAAATTATGTCAATTCACAATGTAAATGAAATTTTTCTAAAGATTAATAGGTTTAAGGTAGTACAGTAATTAGAAAATCAAAAAAATGAAAATTAAATTGATTTAAGAGCGACTTACTGTAAGAATCAGACAGAGCTCAATAGTGACCCTCTTCAAAGTTACAAATTTTTTAATATGTTGTTACTACTCAGACTAGAAGCTCAACTCCAAAATTTTTTCAAAAAATATTAATTGGTTCTCTAGATATTAGATGTCAGTTAAACTAAATTTTTCGAAATAATGACCGAATTTTATTAAAGGCGTGTTTAAACTCAAAAAAAACAACAAAGTAAATACTTTACAATAAGCATTTTACTTGATTGTTATTTATTGGCTAGTTTAGACCGAAAAATAATAAAATTTATAAATAAATTTTTTTTCCTTCATTAAATACCATGCTTCAAAATATGCAAAAAATGATTTTTTTTATTATTTTTAATCTTCGTTTTCATTCAAAGCCGCAAATATCCCATAATTATTTTTTTGTTATTATAAATCTTTATCTAATGAAGTACCTAAAAGTATAAGAACACCTTGTATAAAAATCCAACTCAAAAACGAAATACTAATCTTTTGACGCATTGGCTGTGACACAACAATGACTAAAGCCCTGGATTCACTGTAAACTTCAATTTAAAAAAACTTGTATTGACCTTTAATCAACGCTATTTTTAAAAAATACTTATGGGATATTACAATAGTTCAGAAAAAATAACATATGAATAGTAATGATAGTTTTTAGGTGCTTCTATATTTATTTATAAACGCTTGAATGCAGTATGTTTCCTTGTTATTCTATCATATTTTTTGAGTATAATTTTTACTGCGAATATGTTTCCTGATAATGATTTTGAGTATTATTATTTTATATTATTATAAATCTCTTTTGCGTATTTTTAGTTAAGATTTTTTACTTTTTTAAAAACATTTTGATTAAATGTTTACAGAAAATATTACTTGCGACACGTGTTGTTGTTTTGAACGGAATAATTGTGGACATTACATGCGACCACAAGTAGATGCAATGTCGGTGATGATGTTAAACTATCAATAGGCAGCATCACAGAATATATGAAACACCAGATGCACAACAGAAAATGGCAAACAATGATGCATATAAACAACTAGATGACAAAACAGCATTTTGGTTGAAAGACTATTCACAGAAGACATTACCCGTAAAATTTAGAGAGGGTCAGAATGACTACTTTGGGAAAAAAAGGCATAAGTATGCATATGGATGTTTTTTTTTACCAAAAAATGATATTTTCAAAAAGCATGTTTATCAAACCTCTATTGCTAAATCAGTTTCGACACGAAAGAGTAAATATTTTTGGATTATGCTAATTATTTAGTTGAATCTATGTCCAAGCTCTGCAAAAATAAGAAGTTTAAACTTCTACATTACGACTTTAATGAGCCTTGCTGCGGAAAAGATTAATTAGAGAAAGTATATCCGCTATAGAGAAAGTGCATCCGCTAATACAATAATAAGAAGTTACGTATATGCTGGCAATGACACAGTAACAGCAGTAGATGTTGCAAAAGCAGTGAAATATGGTTATGACGCCAAAAATGGTGTGGTTAGTGTAGAAAAAATTAAGAATGTTTATTTAACTGGTCATAAAATTCCAAATAAAAGCAACTACTATTCCTATGAGTTCCAAGAAAACTACATGACTTTGTGGCGATACTACGAAATTAGAGATGGAATTAAGTGATTTACAACAACTTTTCAGTTGAACCATCAATTGAATTGCTTTTTCCATTCACAAGTACTAAAATAAACTTTCAGCGAAAAACCCTGAGCGGAAAAAAGAAGATAAGAAATTGTGGTTTAAATATTCAACGTTTTTTGCCAGGAGACTGTTTGTATTGAATCTTTTGAAACTATTATTGAGTTAGAAGAGCTCTCAGAACAGTACAAATGATCTGAATTTCTTTTTTAAATAAAGTAAAAAAAGTTTATATTGAAAAGTTGAAAACTTTGCAAGTTCATTCTAATTCTACAACTGCACCGGTTAAGATCACGCCTACCCTCAATAAACAACATATATTCTCAAAAGTTCCATAAATTAGGTTGGGCATTGCGAACAAGAAAAACTTTTCATTTTTCCATTAGCTGAATAAACTTCTTTATGAATACTTCATAAATAGAGAAAATACGGAAGTAAGATGTCACCAGCAGATATAAACACAGTGATAAGAAAATATCTTACAGCTGATGATTTTGTTTTAAGCCTACAAATAAGATCTTTGTTCTCTAGATGGAGTTACTAAGAATTGGAAAGCTACTAAGAATTGGAAAGTTTACTGCTCCGACTAATGAAGAGGACAATAACACTGAACTTAAAAATGAAGAAGCCGAAAAATATCAAGAAGAAATACATAAATTTGCAACCAAACTTTCTTTTATATGGTTGAAAGATAATTGGGTGGCAGTTGTTCACAAAACCTTATGGTATTCAGGAGTTGTTGCAGAGGTAAAAATTTTGTATATATTGTTAAACCAAAAAACTTATAATACATAAAACTAAGTAAAAAGCTAACATAACATCAAAAACAATATTAAAACTTAAATGATTATTTATTATAGAAATGAAGTTTCATTTATCCATAAATTTTGTGTTTAAATATTTTCAAAGTTTATACTTTAATTGACTGTATGAAAAGTGTTTCATTTGGAAAAAATTGTTATCAATGGCCTAATCGAAAGATAGCAAGATACATTTAGATGATATGGTAGCCACAGTCCTGGAATGTCCTGGATTTTTGCAAGTGTCCTGGAATGTCCTGAAATGTCCTGGAAAATTACCTTTTTTTCAAAAATGTCCTGAAATGTCCTGGAACTTTTTTTTTTTCTGAGTCAAGTTAAAAAATTACTAAGAATATTGAAGTAATATCAAATTTTTTATGCGAAAATATTTTTTATATAAATGGTTTGAATTTAATTTTAAATAAGAGAGTAATAGTTATATAATAATATAATAATATAATATTCTATTCTATAATTCAATCAATATGAAAAAAGTATACCGTAAAAATAATTGATAATATTCATTTAATAAGATATAAAATGTCCTGGAAAACGCAACAAAATGTCCTGGAATGTCCTGGAATTTAACTTTTAAAATTTAGTGGCCACCATGGATGATAACATCTTATGTGAAATAAGTCCTCCAACTCCGATTAATGACCACGGTGATTACTTTTTAGCAACAAATGATTTTGAAGAAGCTAATAAACTAATGAAGAAATATTATAAATGAGCTAAAATAAAGTTAAGTTTTATAAGAAGAAAACTATTTTAAAACAACTTGTACTTTTTTTTCAATAACTCTCAAATATTTTTTTTTTTTTTTTTTTTTTTTTTTTTTTTTTTTTTTTTTTTTTTTTTTTTTTTTCAGCTTACAAAGTTAGTCGTTTTACAATACAATAAACTATTAAAATTACTTTACAAATATATATATATATATACAAATCGTGATAACAGTGTAAACTAGGTTTCCGAAAGAAGATCACTAAGATCTTATCATCGGAACCTTAAAAAACATTTATAAACAATATAATTTACGAATACCTTGTAAAGTATACGTTACAGTAAAGTAAAATTTATATATAGAACTTTTACATTAGCAAATCTTTAAATATAAATAGTTGTTAACAAACAAAACTTTAGGGAAAAAATATTAAAAATTTAAATAATAGATAAATTAATTAATAGTACTCTAAAATGTTATCGAGGGAAAAAATTAGATTTTTAATTTTGTTTTTAAAAAGACAAAAAGAATTTGGTCGATCAAAATCAACATTAGGTAAAACAAGTTTATTCCATAGGTGCGGTGCACGATAGGCAAGACAAAATTGATTAAAATTTGTTTGACAAAAAGGTTCGTTAAAGAAATTTATTCTTTTAAGAGTGTATTTGTTGCTGGGTTTTAAACTAAAAAAATCTTTAAAGACTGGGGGGGATAGATTGTTTTTCCACATATAAACAAAGCATAAAATTTTTAAAACGTTGAGTTGAAATACATTTAAAATTTTCATCTCAATAAAATAAAGTTTACAATGAGAAAAACGATCAGCAAAGTTAATTATGCGAATTGCTCGTTTCTGACAGCGATAAAGACGAAGTAGTTTACTTTTTTCAGTACTTCCCCAGGCAATATTAGCGTAGTTTATGTAGCAGTGAATAAATGAGAAATAAAGTTGCCTTAAGTGTTTCTTATTGAGATAAGTTCGAGCTTTGTACAAAACTCCAATGTTTTTAGAGACTTTAGTGCATATATAGTTAATATGTTGATTCCAATTAATGTTCTCATCGATATAAACACCTAAAAATTTAATAACGGAGTCTCTTTTTATTTCAATTTCATCAATAAAGATTGGAGGCAAGTTTATGGGTAAAAATTTTTTTTTCCTATTCGAATGAAAAAGTGTCCATTTAGTTTTGTCAGTATTTAAAGTTAATTTGTTGGACTTGAACCAGTGGGATAAAACTTTAAGTTCTTTATTCACTGCGACAAAAAGTTCGCCAATATCGCTCTTAGAGATGAATAAATTAGTATCATCAGCAAACATGATGCTCATCAGATTAGTTGCTTTATTTAAATCGTTTATATAAATTAAAAAAAGGAGAGGTCCGAGGATTGAACCTTGTGGAACTCCACAGGTTATACTTAAACAATTGTTGTGATAGTTGTCATTACCAACAACAAATTGTTTTCTATTTGTTAAGTAACTTCTGAACCACCTTAACGCTTGGTTATTTACTCCATAGTATTCCAG